GTTCACTATTGTACGCTACAAAAAAGAAAGCTTATAGTGAGGGTGGCAATGGACTCGACCAGACTTGGAACCCGACATGATAAACCTTGGACCCGACGGGTATGGGTATGGGTCCAACTTTTAGACCCGACAGGTCGGGTTCGGGTCCAACCAGACCAGACCCATTGCCAGCCCTACAAAACATCGGTAACAAATCTGTTTTTTTTCAAAAAGTCGGAGGAAAAAATCTGGTAAAAAATATGGATCGTCAAAAAATAAGGTAAGCTATAGAATCATGAATATTTCGGATTTGGTTCCAAGAAACGTAATGAAAAAATCGGATATATGAAGATGACAAAATGTAGGATTATGATTTGCAGCTTTGTATAGATACACTAAAGCCATTAAATAATAATTTTATAGCCTTACTAGTGTTATTAGAGTAATACTAAATAACTTTTTGTTGAAACTTTCAATAAATCCAGCAACAATGCTTACTATGTTGTCACATCATAAAACATTTCGTTGATTTATTGGGAGTACAAAATGAAACAACAACAACAATACTACACACAATAACTAATTATCAAATAACAAGAACTGTGGACCAAGATATAAGATTATTTTTCAAAGGAAAAAAGACTTCTTGAATATAGGATTACAACTAATTAAAAGAAAACGCCAAGACCCAAATATGTAAAATAGTTATCTATCAAAAATGCTATGTTTTATACACCAATAAAATACAAAATAAAATATGAAATTAATCAAACTTCTCTATGCATAAAAAAAAAAACAAATGCTTAAGAAAATTTAAATCTTGCGTTGAATTCCTAGCTACCTAAATCTTTAGTATCAGTGAATCACTATTTTTCTCTTTATAATGACGCTATGGGTTTAAAGAATTTTTTTTATAGATTTTTCATTAGATTACTCTTTTTCTAATTCTATCTATTATTTTTTAATATATGATTGTTTTAATTACTTTTTTTTAGTAATATATTGTTTGTATTTTTTCATACACGTCTTTTAAGGGAATTCATTGACGAAAATTTTGATAGAATTTTTTTTGTTAAATTAAGATTCTTAATTTACTCCCAAGGTAAATGCACTTATCTTTAAAAAAAAAATCAATAATATTAAATTAATGAAGAAATAAAATGGAAAAATTACAAACCCCCAAAATACATCTATGCAGCTTACCCCCATCTAAACCTTTTCTCTCACTTTTTTCACCACAATAAACTTCCAATGCAAAAACCCCCCAAAGTAAAAAGTTCTTTTTTTTTAGACGAAAATGCCCTTCCCATACAAAAAAATCAATTTGGCAAGATTTGACATCTCACAAGTTCTATAGTCAGAGCGCCCTTTGCTACTGCCGGAGTGTTGTGTCTCATAAGTTCTATTGCTAGAGCTCCTTTGCAACTGCAAGAGCTCTACTGTCGGAGCGCCCTTTGCAGGGCTATTGCCGGAGCACCCTTTACAGCGCTACTATCGGAGCGCCCTTTACAACTACCGGAGTGTCCCGCCCCTTGACCCTAAACCGTACGAGCCGGGAGCGAAAGGATGCGGGACCGCTACGTGAGGTGGCGAACGCCGCTCAGGTGGGAGTGATACAATCGCATGGAAATGTGGAATCAAGAGCAAACCATGAAGTAAAACTAAAATCTATACATAAAGACAGATATCGTTCCAAAAGAACAGCCATTTCCATTCACTAGACATCCAAAAGTCCTTACAATTTTCTTCAAGGCACTAACGGCCCAAAAATACAAAGTGTAAAGTAACCATCACAGTGGTAAGACCACCAAAAACATAATATAGAAAGCTTCGGAAGACGGCTCTTCAGACTTCAAGCTTCAACCACCTGAGCACAACACAGCTACGCGCCTTCAATTCAGAGATTGACACTTTCTCCCTACAGTCATGCAAAAAAGATGGAATGAGCTAACAATCCAGTAAGCAGATCTACACCATTGCATCCCAACTATTATAGCAGTGATAACAGTAAGTAGAGCACACTTATTTACTAAATATCAAGGGGAAGCCCTCTAGAATGCCTTTCAGTATTCTAATAGTATAGTAAGAAAAACAGTTCAATACACAGAGTATAAGTCATAAATTATTTCACTTTAGACAGAACAGTATGGTTAACATATCACAGTCATAGACCTAGAAAGATCTACTCCTGAAGTAAAAGTTCTATTGCTCAGGCTAAGCCAAACCTGCCGCCTGAAACCTCTACCCTTATTCAGGAGAGAGGATAATGACAAGTGGGCGCCCCACTTTGTAATGCCCTCACACATTATCATACATCCCCAGTACGCTTTAGGGTATGTGATAGGCAAAAAGGCCTTGCAAGACACGACCTTCTTATGTGCGCTTTCGGCGAGAGAGCGTTACACTACCATTGAGTGACCCAATGCGTAGTGCTAATAACAATTGGGGGGTGCGACACATCCAATCACTCAGTTTACTTATCGACCTCAATCCTATCATTGGGGTTCGAGGTACAGTCATTGCCGGCATCCAGTTATCCAACTATCAATGGTGACCCATTGAGTAGTGGTTAGTCACAGAATATCACAGTTTGTAGTCCCACAATGTGTCACAGAATAACATTCCCAACTACCAATGGGTGCCCCATTGTGTAGTGGTCAATCACAAAATGGCTTACAATATCAATGTTTCAGCAATATAGTAGTACCCACTACCAATGGGTGATCCATTGCGTAGGGGTCAGTATCGTATTATCATACTTCCAGTATCACAAAATTAGTAGCAGTATCACAGTAACAGTGGCAATATCACAACAACAGTGGCAGTATCATAGTAACAGTAGCAGTATCACAGTAATAGTGACAATATCACAGTTAAGCATTGCAGCTCAATTCCATGAAATTATGGTCAATGACGTGCACTCACAATTAAGGTTGTAACTTTTGGTCCATTTAGAATTTGAAGACGGTTCCAAAACAAATTTTATACTAGACACACCCATCTTTCAAATGGGGTTGGTTTGAAGACAATTGGACCCCATTTGCTCTCTTAGAGGTTCAAGGAAATGGGGGTTTACTAGATGTACCCTGTTGTGCACATGGAACAAAGAACAAACCTACTTCGTATCACTATAATGCTCAAACCGTGAAGTATTTCGAGACAATCTTAAAATCAAATTTTAAGACAAGACATATATCTTTCTAACAAAGCCAATTTGAAAACATTTGAACTCCATTTGGTTGTTCAAAGGTCCGTGCCAAATAAGGTAATAATTTTGAGTCTTATTGAAACTATCCACAGTGACCTATCTTCATAAAATAAATCATCACTTTCATTCTAAGAAGAATTTCAAAATAAATTCTACACGCAAGTTTTAGCCCACTCAAGGACCTTTCAAATGGCTATAGTTTTGACAGGAAAAGGATATCGTTTGGTTAGTTAAACTTAGTGACCACAACAGTGCTTGTGGAAAATCCAGGAAAAACAGTCAACAATGACCTATACATACATTTTGAAACATAACTTCATTTTTTATAAAAAATTTCGATAGTGGGTAAACACGAACATTTTACTTGGCTTGCATATCTTTCCAATGACGGTGATTTGAGGTCAATTGGACCTTGTTTGATTATTCAAAGGTCCCCTACAAAAACATATACAGTCCTAGAATTCCGCAGTAATGCCACATATACCTCAAGAACATGTTTCATAACCTCAATTTCATGGTGAAGAACTTGATAACAACTATTCTCTTACAATGTTCACACACAAACATACATTTCTTACAGAATTTATGAATCATGCATTCATTCCACATTTATCACAAAACAAAACCCCCAACTTTCGGTGAACAAGGCATAATAATTTGCCGCATCACATACACTTTCATTATTCATCTCTTAAGCATAAATCCATGAATCCTTATGACTATAATGCAATCGTAATGGATCCACTTACCTTAACAGCAAAAGTGCCTTCCCCAAACCTTCTTTCACAGCCCTCTTTTATTCCAATAATGGCTGCCTCCTATAGTGACTTCTCCAAACTTTTGCCTTAGAGAGAGAGGAGATGAGGGAAGAATGAATGGCGTGGGTGAGAGGGAAGGCTTAAGTACACATGAGGCTGGGGTGGCTGTCCAAGTGGCGCCAAGCCTGGACAAGTGGCAGTCAAAATAGCATGGACTCAACAAGTGGCACTCACAACCCATGCACGTTAAAGACACAGTCGGCGCTACGCACATGCAAAACACAACCGGTGCTGACCTACTTTCTCTCTTCACAGCCGGCACTGGTCCATCTCTTTCTTCACAACTGCCATTGGTCCATCTCTCTCTTCACAGTCGACGCTGGTCCACAGCTGGCTCTGGTCCATCCTCTCTTCACAGTTGGTGCTGGTCCACCTCTCTTCACAGCCAGTGTTGGTCCATCTCTCTTCATAGCCGGCGCTGGTCCAGGAACCACAAATGGTGTTGCCCCCCTTTTTAACATACTCCTACCGCCGTGCATGACACTGTGGCCGGGAAATTTCGGTCCTTACACAGAGCGCTACTGCTGGAGCGCCCTTTGCTACTACCGGAGCGCTGTGTCTCACAGGTTCTACTGCTGGAGAGAGAAGTGTGTGAAATAGTATTAAGGGTAGTTTAGTCTTTTTTTATTTTTTTGGGTTGGGGGGTTATTTGCATAAAAAGTTTGTAGTAGGAAAAAAACTGAGAGCAAAACTTAAGGTGGGGGTAGGTTGCATAGATAGTATAGTCTTGGAGTTTTTTTGTAATTTTTTCGAATAAAATTGTAGTGAAGAAATTTTTTTTTTTTGTGAAAAAAGATAAACTATTGGATTTTATAAACTAGGGAAGAAATAAAATGCGATTTTTTTTAAGATCTTTGGAAAAATTCTGAGTTCTAAAAGTATTTAAAAAAATCGGACATTTTCTTAAAATAAATCGGACACTTTTTAAAAAAACCGGACATTTAAAAAAAAATCAGTGTTTTAAAGGGGACTTGCCAACGTGTTAGAGCCACGCCGCCGGGCTGGTAGCCACTCTGTTAGTTTTCTGGCGCGGCCCTTCGTGTATAATGATGACTCACAACAGTCAAAAGGCGGCATGAGAAGCAGATTCTTATTAATTGAAAATCTGTGTCTCACTCTCAAATAGAAAAAAGCAATCCTTTAATTAGCTTTTTCTCTGCTCTAAGCTCTCTCTCTTTCTGTCAGTTAAAAGAAATCCCATAATTTGCTTTTTCTCTGTTCTAACCATTGCTCTCTTTATCTCTCTTTCTTCTCTCGAAGTTCGCGCTCCTGCCAGTTGGGGTTTTTGTTTTCCTTGGTTCAAAAATTCAGGTAAATTCCATTAATCTGTTCATGATGTTCAAAGCTTCAGTAGATTTTAAGCTAAATTTTCTTTTTGCCTTGGCCTAAACATACATGGTTTTTCTTCTTTTTTCTCCCTTTTGTCTGCAATTTCCTAGGCATTTTATTTGGATTAAGGCCAAAATCATTTATTTTTTCTTCCTGAAACTTCGGCGAATTTGCATCCCAAATCTGATCATGATGGAGGAAATTAGCTAATGATAATTTGAAATTTTGGCTAGAAAAATTAAGTTGGGTATTGCTTGAATAGAAGTTTGGGCTTTTTGAATTGTTGTAATTGTGTTATAGTTTAAATGGTGTGTTCGTGAGTATGAAAGAAGGCTTACCATACGATTGAATGGACCGCAACTCCATTTTGGTTGGGCTGCTATAATTTGTTCCTGAGTTTTGAGTGCAAAATATGAGCAGGACTTGCTAGCTGTAACCTTTGTCTAGAATGTGATACTGCTATGTTTTACAAATTTTTCTCTTCTTAAAGATGTTGTTTAATCTTCTGCTTTCTCAATTTAATTTCAAACTTGTTTGTGTTTTAATTATTAAATCCGTCAAACCAAATTCTCCTTTCATGGGTTTAATCAATCTTATGGGGTTTTAGTCCTGCTTACAAGTGTTTATTGTTTTGCATTATTTTATTCTAATATGTTTTCCATTTTATTCTGGTTCTCATACTAGTTCCCGTTTCTAGGGAACTTCCTTTCTTTTATAGTTTTTGTTTTTGTTTCTGTTTTTTTTTTTTGGTTCTTACTATGGTTATTATTTCTATTACTTGGCTTTAGCATTTCTTTCTGTAACCCTCAAATTTTCACGTTTATGGTTTTAATGTTTTTGTATATTTTGTTCTTCAATGCTCTTCGTCACCATTTTTCACTTATTCGTGACCCCCAATTTTCAAATTGATGGGATCTAACGTGGGTGTGCTTTCTAATCTTACCACATGCTTATGTACCCATAGAACGTTTTTTACGTGCTTGAGTCTGGGTATTCTTAAATGCAATTGGGAAGTTCTTTGCATTAGGATTTGTTGTTAGTTTACTCAGCTTATATTTCCTTGGAAAATAAATTTTTTTTTTAGAAAAGGTTAACTTTTGGAAACTAATTAAAGATAACAATCTAACTTTTTGAATATATTCTTCTCTATGCCTATTCGCAGTGTCGTGTCTCCTTAATGCTTGATTCCTTGTATTTTGAAATTTATATATGCACGAAACTATTAGCCATACTCAATTGATTTTGCCAATGAGTCACTCCTTTGATAAACTAAAAAACAATTTATATGAGCACCAAAAAATTCCATCAGGCTGTCTGTTTAAGTTTTTTTTTTGGAGTAGTTAAAATATTTAAGTTTTTTTTTTTGGGTAGTTTATTAGGAAAGAGTCCCTACTTGTGGTAGAATGGAACTCAAGACATCATGTTGTGGCTTCTTGCCACCCTGACTACCTAGCCTTGAGCCCATTCTTGTCTATTTAAGTTTCATTCTTTCGGTTCTTTGTTTTTAAGTTCTTGTAGATCATGTGGATATTCTAATCCTTATGTGGTGCTTTTATAATGCTAATATCATTCTCTACATAATTCTTTTTAGGCATTCCATATGGCACTTGGATCAGTCCAAATGGAAGGAAAGGAAGAGGGCTCTTTGCAGTCAATTCGCTACTCACCTGGTCGCCTTGAGCTTCTCGATCAGGTATATTAAGTCATTGTTGGGTAACTGTTGACATTAGTGGCAACCACTATGTTTCATTAGCCGTCGATACATGTTTTATGAAATCAGTTGGTTGCTAAAAAGATTTTTTGAGGAATTGCTATAGCCTATAGGTCTTGGCATGTTGTGCTAATACGTCAATTTATTTAACATCATTTATTTCAACTATAAAAATTAATATTTAATATTAATGAGTGCCTAAAAAAAACTTTTAAGGTTTATCATGAAAAGAATTGGTATCTTGATGTGATTTCCACCCTTTTCAGTAACTGGTCGCATTTGATAATGTTCTTTAAACCTACATACTCTTCTTTTAACCATTGGGGCTCCTTTCCCTTGAACTCAGGATCATGGTTTCACTTGTCCATCAGTCTTATTGGACATGCTAATTTACTTTGTCATGAGTTTAAATTGCTTGCTAGCCACCTCGCAACTGAAGCTAATCTTGTTCAGCTAATGAGCCAACTACCGTTCAATGATATGGACTTCTATTGTATCTGCTTTGATAGTATCACTTGTGAATGTTAATGCAAGCATTATTTTTTTATGCAAAAATAAAACATCTATTCGGAAAGGTTTGATGAGAGGCATCTTAATCACACTGGGAAACCTTTGTTCAAACCAAAGTCAGATCAGCATCAAAACTGTTTGATTTATAGGCTTGGCAACATCACCGTGAAACACATATGGCTATTCAGGCCGTATGATGAGATGTTAAGTCAACTTATATTATGGATGTGACATTCAAAGGTACAACAGTAACTGAGATAGATGTTGGAAAAGGCTACCCGAAGGCATCGCGAAATCTGGTAATGTGACAATCATGTTTTGGAGTTGTTTAGATGATGTGCTTGATGGTTCCGCAATCTTAATTTTGATAAGAGTGGTGAAAGGCAATATGGGCCTTGGACCCTTCTCAAAAAATATGGGTTTTGGAGGTGTGATTAGGAGCATCATGCAATGCTAAGGTGCAACTCTGTCCTTTGGCATTAAAGGTGGCCACATGGTTGGAAGCACATGCAGGACTAGAAGTTGCTATTCAAAGGAATTTGTATGTGTGTGTCCGCGTACATATAATGAAAGTTTGTGCAATCTCCCATCCATGTTCTCAAACGAAATTGACTCTTTTTGCAAGTCAAGGTTTTTATCAAGATAGAGAGTGCGTACCATAGACAACCAAAACTCACTACATCAAAAATCAAGACAAAAGGCTGAAGTACAACAAAGTATCAAGAAAATTGAGTTTATTTTTAATAACTAAATACTTTTTTCTTGGACAATGGAAGCACTACATATTGTCAAATGAATTATATTAAAAAATTCTAAAGAAATATATTCACAAACTAAACCAAGATAGACTATAATACATACTAGTATTGACAAAGAAAGTTAGAGTAAAACAAAAAAAAAAATACTAATCATAGAACTTGTTACGGACATCATTGGTGCACAGATTTACATGAGAATGAAGCCTATTACGAAGAAATTGATTACCAGATCTTTCTAAAACGGTGAGATCTCTATTATACTACGAAAAAGAACAATATGAGTTAAACACATGCATGCACCTTGCATGGTAAGGTTTGATGAAGGGAAGAAGCGAAACATTGAAGAACAAACGAGCTAGAGATTCATACCAGACTAAAAAAAAAAGAAGCATACTTTTATTGGAAGAATAGCTCAAATACAACCTAGGTCATCATCGTCATCCGGACCTTATCCCAACTATATGGGGTCGGCTTATCATCATCAAGTACACCCTAGGTAAAAAAAGTTAAAAGTAAATTGAAATTTAAAAAAGTTTCATGAAAACTGGCATTTTAAACAAGAAACACAACATTCTCAAGTCAAAACTTGTCTCAAAACATAGACACGGTATTGGACACTTATTCGTCATGTCGTATCAGTTTCTAGAGGTTTCAACATGCATGTCGGTATCAGCCATGCTTTGACATGTGCTCAGACCCCCAGAAACTTGGTGTCAATGTCTCATAGGATATTCTATGTATCAAAAGAAAACATATCCTTGCATAAAGTTCAACTATCTAATTTCAGGGCCATACTTTCTCGACTGTTAATTCAAATTTTGTTCAGATTGTTCTACTCGTTGCATCCGAATTGAGAAATGATTTAGTTTCCCACACTCTTTTGACATTAATGCTAACAAAAGTTAACATTCTCAAAAAAAAAATATTGCTAACATATTTCTAGAGAGTTGAGTTTGATGATTGCTAGGTTGGCTGCGTTGGTCTGACTAAGAAATGCCATAGGGTTGTAGAATTTAAGGTCACCGTAATCATTTATCTTGAGGGGTTCCCTCTTTTGTCTTTCTTATGATCTTTTTCTCATTCTGCTAGCATTATTATGTATGAAAAAGAAAAGCTCTTTCTTACTTAAGTCATCTTAGCTATATCATTTTCTGGTCTAGCACTTGAATGGATTGTGTGTGTGTGTGTGTGTGTGTATATATATATATATATATATTATTCGTTTTTTTAAGGAAGTATTTATATATGTATATTCTGATAGTTGAAAACATTGGATCCTTTGCCTTTGACTTTTAATGATCCTTATGGTTTAATGCACCTGATGCGATTTATAGTTATTTCCTTTTTTATCTAATTTTCTTGTCCGGTGGTCTGTGTTCTCAACTTTCTTATTTTTTTTTAAAAGAAAGTTACTCACCTTTTCTTGTTGATACTTCTTAACAGCAAAGACTACCTCATGAGTCTGTATACTTGGATATCAACAATACTGAGAGTGGATGGTAATGTGCTGCCTATGTTCTTGGAATAAAGCAAATGATCCATTGAAAAAGAAGCTGTGTGTTTATCACGTTCTTTCAGTAGGATTTAGTCACTGCCAAGGGAATAAAAATAAAAATATGTTGGATATTTAAGTTCATACTGATGGCTGTCCTTCTGAGCTTCTTTTGTATTGTATTTTTCTTTGATGGTTCTTTCTTTTTCCATAACTGGTAACTGTCCTAGTTAAAGGTTGAAAAAAAAAAAAGATATTTGCATGAATCATACAGTTAACACTTTCAAAAAAAAAAAAGGAAGAAAAATGTTTGCACTGATTATATGCTCCATGAGTGCTTCTAATGTCTTCTGATAATCACATCTTCTTTCCTTGATTTTCAATATTGTTTCTCTGTGTCCACCTTCTCCTCTTGTCTTGGAAATACTATTTAGTTATTAATTATATAACTAAACTGAGTATTTTGATTGCTATAATATCATTGAGTGTTGGTAGTTGTGAGTTTGATGATTTCATTGGTATTACATTTTTCTGTGTCAAACTTTAAAGTTGATGAGTGTGGATTTGCTCCTTCAAACTGATCAGCTCCATTTTGGAATTGTGAATTTCTGGCGTACAAACAATAGTAAATTCTTTTGGTCCTGCTTTGAGCTTTACTGGTAACGCACTGGTCCCCAAATAATCTTCCTAACAATCATGTATTTATTGTTACAGGATCGCAATAAAGGACCTGGTGGTCCGTGGTGCACCTGCAATTGCTATATCAGCAGCTCTCTCACTAGCTGTAGAAGTCTCCAACTTGAAATCTTTTGATGGCACATCTACTGATGCTGCTTCATTTCTGGTCAAGAAGTTGGAATACTTAGTTTCCAGGTGAATATCAAGACTTAAATTGGTGGACCAACTGGCATATTCTTTGGTCTGTGGTATACTTCCCCTTTACACCATCCTCTGAATCTGCTTATAGTTTCTTCATTTTATTTATTATATTTGCAGTCGACCCACAGCTGTAAACCTTTCGGATGCTGCAACAAGGCTGAAAGAAATAGTGTTGAAGGCAGCTACTGATGGAAATGCTGAATCTGTTTTCCAGGTATATATATTATTGTGTTTTATCTTGTTTGAGTGATTTCTTTAGCGAAATCTGAGACATCTCAATCATTAGATGAAGTGCCTTGAAAATCCGTTAAACCCAAAAGAGTTGGGAAAAGAAAATGGCAATTTCTAGCCCTAGAATCCACCTCAAGAAAGCGGACCTTTTAAAAATTAGAGATGCAGGTACAGTCAAAACTAGTCTGTAGGACAGAGATGTAATTATACTATAAATCTAGCAGGTAGGTGTTGTTCATGGATCTATGGGAAGACCTCATTAGGCCTTACTCTGTATTGCCTCCTAGTGTATTAACTGGAGGCAGACTTACCTATCAAGATTGAGGTCCCCTCTCTTTGAATTGTGGCTCATAAGTCAGTGATAGGACGACAAAGAAGGGAGGACTGCTCAGCATGCCTTGAAATATTAGATGAGAGGCAACCCCAGGTGGATACTCTTGCTCGAGCTTACTACAACAAAATTTAAAGGGCTTACGAATGGTCATTCCAAGGCAGTCCAAAGCTAGTGACCTGGTACTCAAGAAGATTCCATTGGGTAAATTTTATTAAATTGGGAAGGACCCAAAATAATGATAGCTTTACACCTACACTAAAGAGATTTTTAAAATAAAGGACCAAGAGAGGGCTCAAAGATCTTATCAATGCAATGCACCTCGAGTGCTTATACATATCATCATCATCATCATACCCTTTTCCCAATTAATTGGGATCGGCTACACGAATCTTCATACCCTCAGTGAGGCCATAAGTCCACATATCTATTTAGACTACTTCCAACCACTTCCTTTTAGGCCTACCCCTTGCCCTTTTCAATTCTTCTACTTGAACTAACTCAACTTGCACCTCCTAACAAGTGTTGTATTGAGTCAATGCTACACATGGCCAGCCGACCTAAGCCTTCTCTCTCTCATCTTATCACCTATTAGTGCCACACCTAAATTTTTCTGAATGGATTCATTTTGAATTCTATCCCTTCTTGTTTTACCACTCGTCCATTTCAACATCCTCACCTCTGTTACACTCATTATATGGGTATATTGTTTTTTGTCCACGCAACATTCCGCCCTATAAACAAAGCCGGTCTCACAGTTGTCCTATAGAGCTTGCGCTTTGGCTTCATTGGTATCTGGCAATCGCATGAAACTCCAGTTGCACATCTCCACTGTGCCCAGCCAGCTCTAATTCTGTGTGCAACATCTTCCTCAATCTTTCAATTTTCCTAGATTATCGACCAAGATATCTAAAGTGCGGTCTTTTTTTTACTTCCTGGCCGTCAATCTTAACTACTTCCTTGTCTCTACTCCTGTTGAGTGCTTCTACATGTGAATAAGGAAAAAAAAGGGAAGGAGGAACATGGTGAAAAGCTGTAAGAGCCTAAGGAAAAAAGTTTGAAAAATGGACACCGAGTGAAAGCATAAATGGCATACGGTAACACCATGTGTAAAACACAAAATTGATAGAAAAAAAACACATAGGTGAAAACCGTAAAGGGTGCCATGGTCCACAGCCTCCTATTCAAAGCTTGGAAACACATGGAGCAATTACTAATTAGATTATGGATAAACTCCTAAGGAAGGGATTAGGTGGAAATCAAACAAATCACATGACATGAAGTTCAAAACATGACTTGAGGGTGACAAAAGGACCTTGATCAGTTGTACCTCATAGAGGCTATTGAGCAACCAAAGGTGATATTAAGGAAAGCTCTTAGGAAGTTGGAGCACACATTCCAAAGAAACTAACTAAAGGCTCAAAGGAATTGTCTCCAAAAATTATCACCAAATTCAAAACTGCCTAAACACCATCCCGCCCCATCAAACTTTAGAATTATCACCAAAACCCTAAATCTAAGAGGAGAAACACCTATCTTACTATATTGTAGATCCAAGCCATCAATACTTGTCTCTCTAAGTTCATTCTTTTGCAAGTCATTTGCACATGATCCTAGTGCTCGTTTAGCACAAGAGAAATTCTCCCTTTGGCACTTTTATCCAATTCTGGTTTACTCCAGGTGCTGATTTCCCTAATGGCCTGCCAAGATATTTTCTTCTTTACTCTCTAGTTTATATATTTCATGTCTACATGCAATTTGACGCCAATTTCAATTGTTTTCTTTGTTTCTTAATAAATTAAGATATAGACCATTAATTTTTATTGCTTTAAAATACAAAAATGTGTATCTTCAAGTGTCTTTCATCAGTAATTGTAGTCAGTTGTTAAAAGGTGAAGCAAGATCAGCACCTAGCTGCTAGATCTCGAGTAAGGATCATCATATTTGTGCCCTAAGTCTAGTTTTGATTAGACCTTCATGTCTATTTTCTAAAAGAATTCTTTCTTTGAGGTAGAGCTAGGGGCTAGACTTTGCCCTTTTCTCATTCCTCTTCTCTTCAAAGTGTATGCGTATGTGTCCTATCTAGTGGATGATTTATCACATATTTGGGTGTAAACAGCTATGTGTTTTTCAAGTTAGTTTGAGGACCATTCTGAACTATTGACTCTTAACTGAAATTGCTGCAGAACTTTACACATGCATAAAGGTTGGTCATTGATATTTAGCATTTAATATATATCCTGAGCTTGATGTCACTAAAGCTTGCTATATTAACTTGTGAATACATATATCTTGAGCATTTCATATGAAAATAGGGAAAGCATACTTTGGCAAAAGAAAGGGGACAAAAAAAGAAAAAGGAGAGGGCCCTCTTTCCTAATGCTATTTCAACCTTAAGGAAATGAATGTGATTTGCTTGCTTAATTGTTTTTTCATGTTAGTGTAGGGGACACCTCTCTCTCTCTCTCTCTCTCTCTCTC